CTGCCTACTTGTGATCTCTGTCTGTCAAATAAATAAATAAATTCTTAAAAACAAAAAAAAAGAACCCTGAGATCGAGTCATGCGCTTTTCTGACTGAGCCAACCAGGAGCTCCCCAATTTTTTCTTAATCAATATTTTCAGAGTATTTCCTAGTTTTAGCTTATCAGAATCTGGCTTTAATACACTGTATTGTAGTTTGTTTTCTAGTCCACTAACTTTTGATCTTACTTCTGATTTCTTCTATTTTCTTTAAATTTTTCCTCTTTTTTTTTTTTTTTTAAGATTCTATGTATTTATTTGATGGAGAGAGAGATCACAAGTAGGCAGAGAGGCAGGCAAAGAGAGGGGGGAAGCAGGCTCCCTGCTGAACAAAGAGCCCGATGTGGGGCTTCATCACAGGACCCTGGGATCATGACCTGAGCCGAAGGCAGAGGCTTAACCCACTGAGCCATCCAGGCGCCCCTAGATTTTTCCTCTTTTAAAAAACTGTCAGGGTGCCTGGGTGGCTCAGTGGGTTAAGCCTCTGCCTTTGGCTCAGGTCATGATCCCAGGGTCCTGGTGAGCTACGGGTTGGGCTTTCTGCTCAGCAGGGAGCCTGCTTCCCTTAACTCTCTCTCTGCCTGCCTCTCTGCCTACTTGTGATCTCTGTCTGTCAAATAAATAAATAAAATCTTAAAAAAAAAACAACACAAACAAACCTGTCTGACTGACCTGAGCTGAAGGCAGACACTTAAGGACTGAGCCACCCAGGCACCCCTATAAAGTAAACTACTTCTGTTGGTAGTACAGTGGTTGCCTGGCGGAAACACATCTATGCAGTTGTTCGAGCTGCAAGCTGAATTAGCCTCTTTTTTCCTGGAACACCAGTTTTACTGGAAAGAGCACCTGAGAAACAAGCCACAGTTATTGGGATTCGGGTATTTGCCAAACATTTTGTACAAAATGAACAAAGTGATCCCGTCCCTTCCAGGGAAAACAACTGACAGTATTTGCTGTCAAAAATAAAATTTGAGCTTGACAACTTCCTACTCTTTTAACCCTCTTCCAATAAAACCAGTGATGGTATTACCAAATAATTTTTTTGTATTATGTAATGAAATGCATTAACATTGGGAAGATCTGCAAAATTCAGTGAACCACCCACTTCCAAATGACCAATACATGATGTTAAAAAAATCATGCATGCAGGGCGTCTGGGTGGCTCAGTCAGTTGATCATATGACTCTTGATTTTGCCTCAGGTCATGATCTCAGGGTCATGGAGATCAAGCCCTGCCTGGGGCTCTGTGCTGGGCATGGAGCCTGCTTAGGATTCTCTCCCTCTCCCTCTCCCTCTGTCCCTCCTCCCACTGGATGTATACACACACTCTAAAAAAAAAAAATGCATGTGTAACATACCCATTTTTAGTACAAGATAGACCAATAGATTTTAACTTATCAGAATATGAAAACTTCATTGACTTGGTTTTAGATTCCACATTGCAGGGACACCTGGGTGGCTCAGTCGGTTGAGCGGCTGCCTTCGGCTCAGGTCACGATCCCAGCATCCTGGAATCGAGTCCCACATTGGGCTCCTTGCTCCACAGGGAGCCTGCTTCTCCCTCTGACTCTGCCTGCCACTCTGCCTGCCTGTACTCTATCTCTCTGACAAAAAAAAAACAAAAAAAACCAAAAAAAACACTTTAGATTCCACATTGCAGCCAGTCTTTAAGAAACTAACATTTGGGGGCAGCTGGGTGACTCAGTGGGTTAAGCCTCTGCCTTCAGCTCAGGTCATGATCTCAGGGTTCTGGGATCGAGCCCCACATCAGGCTCTCTGCTCAGCAGGGAGCCTGCTTCCTCCTCTCTCTCTGCCTGCCTCTCTGCCTACTTGTGATCTCTCTCTTTCTCTCTGTGTCAAATAAATAAATAAAATCTTAAAAAAAAAAAGAACTGTTAAAGGAATCCAGTAACAATGGAAGAAATTGAAGCCTAGAAAGAGTAGGCCCCCAGATGAAGGTATCAATGTATGGACCCATGGATGACTAATTACAAAGAGATACACTTTACAGTATAGAAATCAGATGAACACCATTTTAACAAAATGATCAAACTTATTCCAAGACTCCTGTTGTGGTATATCAGTGTCCACTCAGAACATCCACCAAAAACTGCTTAACATGATGCTTATTGCAACAACAGTTGGACAAATCTATATTGAGAGACATTCTGCAAAAAAACTGACCTAGACTCTTTTTCATGATTTAATTTAAAAAAATTTTTTACACTCTTGAAAAATATTAAAGTCATGAAAGTTTTTTTCCATATTTTCTCTTATTATTGTTTTTTGTTAATGGGAAACTTCTTTCTCTTTATTTAGGCCTTGGGAAGAAAGTTAACTTTGGTCACATATTATGTTTAAAAAAAATCCAGTTTTAAATAGATAGGACCAGATGATCAGAGAAATGATTTCTTCTGTAAAATTTGGCCAAATTTTATAAAAAAATATAATATACAGTGTTTCACATTGTATAAAGATTGCTTGGAATCATAACACTCCAAATGTATGACAGTTACAATCCACCCCAACAAATGTCAAAAGTATTTGCTTTCACATTGCTTTGGTCCAAAGACCAGTACCTAATCTTGTGCCAACATTAATTTAGATTTTTTAAAAAGATTTCATTTATTTATTTGACAGAGAGAGACGCAGCGAGAGAGGGAACACAAGTAGGGGATGCAGGAGAGGGAGAAGAAGGCTCCCAGCTGAGCAGGGAGCCTAATGTGGGGCTCGATCCCACGATCCTGGGATCATGACCAGAGCCAAAGGCAGATGCCCAACAACTGAGCCACCCAGGCACCCCGTGTTTTCATATTCTTTGGGTAAGTACCCAGTAGTGGAATTACTGTATCATATGGTAATTTTATTTTTAACTTTTTGAGGAACCTCCGTACTGTTTTCCAGAGTGGCTGCACCAGTTTGCATTCCCACCAACAGTGCATGGGGGTTCCTTTTTCTCCACATCCTTGCCAACACCTGTTTCTTGTGTTTTTGATTTTAGCCATTCTGACAGGTATGAAGTGATATCTCATTGTGGTTTTGATTTGCATTTCCCTGATGATGAGTGCTGTTGATCATCCTTTCATGTGTCTGTTGGCCATCTGGATGCCTTCTTCGGAGAAATGTCTGTTTGTGTCTTCCACCCATTTTTTAATTAAAATTTTCAAAGTTTATCTATTTATTTTTGAGTAATCTCTGTACCCAACATGGGGCTTGAACTCACAACCCCGAGATGAAGAGTCACATGCTCTACTGACTGAGCCAACCAGGTGCCCCTCATCTGCCCATTTTTAAGTCTGATTATTGGTCTTCGGTGTTGAGCTGTATAAGTTCTTTATATATTTTGGGTACTAATGCTTTATTGGATATGTCACTTGCAAATATCATCCCATTCAGTAATAGGTTGTCTTTTAGTTTTGTTGAGGACACTTCATCAGGGGGCTCAGTAGCTTGGAGTTCTTTAGCTGATTCTTTCTCTGTGAATCACTTTCTGAGTCATCTGGACTTTCAGGATCAGGTGAATCACCATCACCATCATCTCCAGCCACAACACCTTCTCCATCATGATCTCCTACCTCACTGGAGCCAAGTCTACAAGGTCCTCAATATCTTCCTGATAATTTACTATCCATACTTTGCTGGTATCGAGACTCTGACTCTTCATTAATTTCTTGTTTTCTCCTAGGTCGGCTCCTCCCAATTGTCTAGATCCAAGACAGCCATCTGGGAGGCTGAATGATTTACCCCCGTGTGGATGGGAATCTCTGACAGCATTCATCATTTCAGGGACCCAGACAAAAAGGAGGGGAAATGCTGATCACACTAAGGGTTCTCATCAGAATCCAATCAAGGATTGTACATTGCATATAGTTATCATACTGCAGTGTTTTATAATCTCATTTTAAAATCTTTCATGAGGCCTTCTGCTTGGGCTGGTGGCAGATTGTGGGCTTCTCCTCCCTTCCTGGACCACCTTCTCAATTTAAAACTTCTTTGCTGTTAACTTTGGAACACTTAAAATTCTTTCAGCAATTCTCCAGTGGTCTCTATGAAAGCAATTATCTGAATTTTCTTAATTCTTACTAAATCTTCTATTGAGGGGCACCTGGCTGATTCAGTCGGTGTCACGTAAGACTCTTGATCTCCGGGTTGAGAGTTCAAGTCCCACGTTGGGTGCAGAGATTACTTTAACAATTACAGTTTTTAAAAAATCTTCTTCTTCTAAAAAAAAAATCTTCTTCTGAGTCCTCACAACAAACCTATGAGGTTTATAAAAAACTGGGGCTCATAGAGATTATTTCAAAGGTCACATTGTTAAAATGTAGTGGTTCTGGAATTAGAATTTAAGGTTTATTTCCAGCCAGGTACTTTTAAACACTCCGTCTATTTTATCTTAACCCCGTTCCCAACAGTCTGATTACAGGTTAAATATTCATATTGTGCTTACTGAGGACTGCCTTAATCTCTTACAGAAAAGACTGTGCTCTCTACAAGACCTTTCCCAGACTGTGAACAACGCGGGAGCAGTGGTAGTGCACTCACTAAAAACGGATTTGTGGAAAGCCATCAGTTAAGAAGGGAACATACGAATCCAGACCCTAAGGGGCGCTATCCTCGCCCAAGGACCTATACCTCCGGCAAGAGTAGGACTAAACGCTGAAGGGTGGACTTGGCTCTCAGCCAGCAAGACGCCGGCGGAGGGCCCGCCCCCAGCGCATGCGCATGCGCCCACGGGCCCTGCTGCCCGGCTCTATCCTACTCCGGCTCCCGCCCGAGTCCAGGTAGCCTGCTGAATGCGGGGGAGGGGCGCCGCGTGAAGGCGGGGCTGGAGGGGGAGTCTCGGGTCTTTGGGCTCCTTTGTTAGAGCCCCAGCAAAGGTTGCCCTAACTTCCGATACTAACTTCATCAGGAGCTGTTCCTGCAGCTGCCCCTTCCCGGGCGGGGGTTAGTTCCTGGGTCTGGGGGCTTCCGGGGGCGCTGCCCGTGACCAGCACGCACCTGCTTCTTTTCGTCGCACCATTCCGGTGTCTCCGCACCTCTCCAGCTCCCGCACCCGGGCCCGTGGGCTTCCAGCCCGAGTCGGGTGTCCTGGGTAGCTTGAGGACACGGGGCTGGGCAGGTGCCGAGAGCCTGCGCCTGGCCCCATCCTGCCGGGCTGAGCCACTCGGAGCCCGAAGCGAGGAGCCTCCGGGAGACTACGTGCGGTCGCCTGCCTCGCTCGCGCCTACGCCTTCTGCTCCTATTGCTTTCCCAACTGAGCCGAGAACCCGGGGGCGTGTTGACGGGGCCCTGCAAAGCGGGCTGGCTCGCGGCTGCCGCCTGAAGTCCGCGGGGTGCACCTTCCCGCCCATGGGCTGTGCTGTCACGGACCCTGCAGTCCCCAGCCGGTCGGAGGGCACCCCATCCTGACGTTCCAGGGTAAAGGGACCAGAGACCGCTGAGTGGCCCCGCCACGACCGCAGCCTTCAGGGCAGCTTTCAGTGCAACACAGGGCCTGCAAAGGGAAGCTTCTCTTGCTTACAGGTCTGCAACTATCCATAAACAGTTACACCCGAATATGAATGTGTGCTGAGCCCAGGGAGTCACTTGAGTCAGTGCTAGGAAGACTTGGGAGTCGGGTTGTTGGGGGTTTGTGTCTCATTAAGTGTGTGTGTGTGGAAACTACCCCGGCACCTAGTGCGGTGCTAGGCAACCAGTAAGCCCTCCCTAAACTTCTTGGTTGGATGAATGAGAAGGTAGGTGACTGAGGGAGCAGGGCTAGGTAGCGAGGGCATCTCTGCTTATCCCACCCCTGCCTCCCCTGGGCTCCTGCAGACAAAAGTAATTAGGTTGAGCCTTTAATCACAGCTGGTTTCACAGGCGGGCAGACAAGGAAAAGCAGAGGAACGCAGAAGTTCTGGGGACACAGCATGCTGGCTGGTGCTGGCTCACTGGCAGTGCCTCCCTCCACGACCCTCTCCAGCCCCCACCTCTTCCCCGTCAGTAATCTGCTGTTTTCTTGTCGCCCTCAGGACACTGGGTTCCCTACAAGCCGCCCCAGGCTTAATGATTGTCCAGAAGGTGGCTATAGAGGGAGCCTGGGAGGCTGGGTGGAGGAGGGAGCAGAAAAAGCCTAACTCAGCAGATCTGGGCACCGAGAGAGCCACCGGCAGGAGCTGTGGTCAGAGGCTCCGGGCCCCGGTCAGTGGGGCCTGCTCCCTTCCACCATGGCGGCCCAAGGCTACGGCTATTACCGCACTGTGATCTTCTCAGCCATGTTCGGAGGCTACAGCCTGTACTACTTCAACCGCAAGACCTTCTCCTTTGTCATGCCATCATTGGTGGAGGAGATCCCTCTGGACAAGGATGACTTGGGTGAGCCCTGGCGGGGCAAGGGGGTGGGCCCTGGGATCCAGCACTAGTAGGACAAATTGGGTGTTTGTGGCTGTGTGGAGGGTCCGTGTGCAGCAGAGGATGGGGGGCAGCTGCAGGTGCCGACTGAGGGGACTCTGACCATGTACCTGGGTTTGGGCGAGGAGCTAGGCGTGTGCTCTCCGCGTGCCTGAGGAGTGCTGCTCATCTGATGTGTCCTTATGTGCCTGTGGCTCACGAGTGCCCCCAGAGACATGGCTTATTCTGAGTGTGTTGAGGGTCACCCTGTGCAGTTTCCACACTGCATGGGGGCATGCTAAGACCGCGGGGTGCCTGCTGGCCATTGACGTTGTGAGCAACGGGAACTGGGGACTTGGCAAAATGACTTCACATGGCCCACCAGGTGACGTTTCAGGAGAAGGAAGGTCCTTGACTCCACTTCTAAGCTCCTGAGGTGGGGCAACAGAACTTCCAGAAGCCCTGGGTTGGAGCCAGTGTGAGGGGGAAATGTCATCAGGCCTTTGTAAATCCCAGGGAGGGGGGCTGCCCGCTTCTCCCTTCTTGCCTCCTGACAGCTGCAGCTGGAACTCTACAGAAGGCTGCAAAGTCATGGGTCAGCCTGGGGCTAGCGCTGGTGGCGAGGAGCGGGGCCCTGGGAACCCAGCACAGGTTTTTCTGAACCGTCTGGGAGGGAACCTGTCTCACCCTTCCTGGCACCTCGCCACACTTGACCCCATGCCTTCCTCCAGCCCTCCTCTGCCTCTGCCCCGGCCCCTAACTCCCCAGGCGTCCCGCGTCCTGCTCTCCCCACTGCAGGGCTCATCACTAGCAGCCAGGCGGCAGCCTATGCCATCAGCAAGTTTGTGAGCGGGGTCCTGTCTGACCGGATGAGTGCTCGCTGGCTCTTCTCTTCGGGGCTGCTCCTGGTGGGCTTGGTCAATATAGCGTTTTCCTGGAGCTCCATGGTACCTGTCTTTGCTGCTCTGTGGTTCCTCAATGGCCTGGCACAGGGGCTGGGCTGGCCTCCGTGTGGGAAGATCCTGCGGAAGGTGCGTGCTTGCTTCCAGGGAGCTTCTTTAGACTGGCACAGGGGATGATGCCTAAGGAGCATGTGGGAGCACCAGCACCCTCATCCCGGGGCAGCAGGTTCCCTGGGAGTTCCAGTCCAGCTCCTATTGCTTGTTAAGATATTTTAGGAGCTAAACATGGTGGGATCGGGTGGCAGATGAGGGAATTGGCCCTGCCAAGTAGAAGCGCCTTCTTCCTCATCCCTGTAATGTGAGCTCCTAGGTCTGCCCCACCTGACCTGCACTTTCAGCGTGTTGAATGTGGGCACCTCCTCCGTCCCCTCTGTCCCACAGTGGTTTGAGCCATCTCAGTTTGGCACTTGGTGGGCCATCCTGTCTGCCAGCATGAACCTGGCTGGAGGGCTGGGCCCTATCCTGGCCACCGTCCTCGCCCAGAGCTATAGCTGGCGCAGCACGCTGGCCCTGTCGGGGGCCCTCTGTGTGGTGGTCTCCTTCCTCTGCCTCCTGCTCATCCACAATGAACCTGCCGATGTCGGACTCCGAAACTTGGACCCCACCCCCTCCAAGGGCAAGAAGGGTGAGCACCCACCCAAGCTGGTGATTGGGGCACCTTCATTCATCACTCATTTGGCAGACTTTCATTGAGGACTGGCTGTATGCCTGGCCCCGGGCTAGCCAATGGCGGCAGGGGGAGGGATGGTGATGGCGAGTTGGTGGGGAGTAAATAAAACTTCGTTCCAAGAGACACTTAAGTACCAGACAAGTGGCAGATCCAACAAATGCTGTGACTCACGTTATATCCTGGTCCTTCCTCACAGCAGAGCCAGACTTCCCTCTCCTGGACCGCATCCCAAGCTTAAGTGGCTTGGATGCCTTCCGCCATATGCCTTGGTCCTCAGTTTCTCTCTCATTTGCTGAGGCTTGCAGTGGAGGGGACAGGGCAGAGCATTGGCAAAGGGGTGCCCTCCTGCTGGTGCCTGGCTATGGGGATGGACTCTGGCCCTGTGGCTAATGAGTGGTGGGGGCTCGGTCAGGGCAGAGCAGCAAGAACAGAGCCTGAGGCCTGGCCTCCTCCTGCCCCCAGGCTCCTCGAAGGAGGAGAGCACCTTACAGGACCTGCTGCTGTCCCCCTACCTCTGGGTGCTCTCCACTGGCTACCTTGTGGTATTTGGAGTAAAGACCTGCTGCACTGACTGGGGCCAATTCTTCCTTATCCAGGAGAAAGGACAGTCAGTCCTCGTGGGTAAGATGAGTGTTGGAGCAGGGGTGGGCCTAGGGAGCAGGAATCAATGAAGGGGATGGGAAACTCAGGCCCAACTTCTCTTTATCCGAGGCCAGGCACCACCCAGAGAGTTGCAGCCAGTCACCCTTTGGGACCCGTACCTCTCTGGGTTCCAGCCATTCGGACAACCCCAGTGTGTTTAACCCCCTTCCACTCCTCCTTTCCCTCTTCCCACCACAACTCCTTACTCCAGGTAGCTCCTACATGAGTGCCCTGGAGGTTGGGGGCCTTGTAGGCAGCATCGCAGCTGGCTACCTGTCTGACCGGGCCATGGCAAAGGTGAGTGGGCAGAGGGGACAGGAAGGAGGAGGGTCCCTTTAAATCTTCCCAGCATGACTGGGACAGGCACCAGAAAGGCGGGAGCCCTGGGGCACGGGCAGGCTGGCATATGGGTGGGGGGAGGCTGGAATGATTCCACGCAACTCTTACCTGCTGAGGATGTGGTGGCAAGGTAAGGCTCTTGGGGAAAGGGTTCTAACGGATGTCAAGGAGAGCCAGAATTTCTCTCAGCTTAGCAGCGGGGTTCTCTACAGGCCGAGGGAAGCTGGGGTTGAGGAGAGACTAGGTGCAGCTTGCTAGCACGTGTCCCCAAGGTGGAGGAGGGGATGTGGTGGAGTTTGGCCTCGGGATATAATGAGCAGGTCCCAGGGCCTCCCAGAGCTGCCCCGGGCCAAGAACCGTGGTGGGATTGCCAAAAACTTGTCAGCAGAAGCCCTGCCGTGTCAGAGTCCAGGGGCGGATGTTGCCTGCTGCTTTTGGGGCGTGACACTGCTGGGCCTGTCTCCACAGGCGAGGCCGTCCATCTACGGGAACCCTCGCCATGGCCTGTTGCTGTTCATGATGGCTGGCATGACCGTGTCCATGTACCTCTTCCGGGTAACTGTGACCAGTGACTCCCCCAAGGTAAAGGAGGCGCGCCTGGCCTGCCACTGGCACAAGGATGAGAGAGCCAGGGCCACTGACTGTCAGGTTCCCTGTCCCTGACTCTACCCTGGCCCAGGCCTTTCTCTGCCTCTCAGATTCCCCTTTCCAGTTCTGGCTTACCTTGTGCCCTCTGTACTCTGGCGCTCCTCCTGGACTTGGGGCCTGGTTTTCTTCTCTTTCCTGTGCTCCTCTAGGATGTTGCTTTCTGGACTCCAGCTCTTCACCCTCTCGCTGAGCTCACAGGCTTTACGGAGCGTGAGGTGCCTTATCTGTGGCTTTCCTCCTAGTCTGTCTTCCCCTTGTCCTACCCTGTCTGCCTTGCCGCTAGCATCAGTTCTAAGAGACAGCATCTGACTGGGAGGGATGGCTTCTGCGTCCCCTTCACCTACCCACTCAGGCCCTCAGGTGGACTCAGCGTGGCTCCACACCTCTAGCTTGGCCCTGTCAGATGTATCGGGAAGTGGGGAGAGGGAGGCCACTTACTACCTCCTTACCACAATCATGTGTTCCTGGGGCCGAGCATCTTTCTCTCCCCTGGCAAGGGTGGGTAGGTAGGGCTTCTCAGACTCCAAATGCCACCCTGCATTGTCCTTGCAGCTCTGGATCCTGGTGCTGGGAGCTGTGTTTGGTTTCTGTTCTTACGGTCCCATTGCCTTGTTCGGAGTTATAGCCAACGAGAGCGCCCCTCCCAACTTGTGCGGCACCTCCCATGCCATTGTGGGACTCATGGCCAATGGTAAGCGGTGCTCTCCAGAGCGTCCACCTGATCCCCGCTGTTGCCTTGCGCATAGGCTAGCTGGAGGCTGGGGCCAGCGCCACCGACTCTAGCCTCACAAGTGACCCAGGCTCTTACCCCCCTCCTCTGCAGTGGGCGGCTTTCTGGCTGGGCTGCCCTTCAGCACCATTGCCAAGCACTACAGCTGGAGCACAGCCTTCTGGGTGGCTGAAGTGATCTGTGCAGCCAGCACAGCTGCCTTCTTTCTCCTACGAAACATCCGCACCAAGATGGGCCATGTGCCCAAGAAGGCTGAGTGAAGAGTGTACAGGCTCCAGTGTGTCCTCTCCCACCTGTGGTCTTCCCCCGCACGGGGCTGGGGGGTGGAGGGGGGCAGAGAGAGAAAGGGGGGCTGCTCCGACTAGCACTGAACCTTTGATTTCCTCTTGTGCGCCTTTTCCCTCGCCCAGGTGGCGCTGGAAGTTATCAGTGGCTAATGAGGTCCCAGTTCCCCATCCTCTGTTCTATTGAAAAGGCAACTTTTTTTCTCAGACTCCATTAGCTCCTATTTTCTGCCTTCAAACAGGAAACCCCTGCTGTCAGGGAGTCCCCTAGACCCTTCTTCCCCTCCTGGGCCCTCCCACGCTGTCCCCAGGAGAGGTGAGGCTCCTCCTGCAGCTGCAGGGCACCAGTAGCCCGTGATTTCTGCCCTAAGGCCACTTAGCACCGGCCAACTGCTATTGCCAGTACCTCCGATTCCTGGGGAGGAGGAGGCCCATCACGCTCATGGGTACCCTGCGAAGATGGCAGGCGGGGCTGGGAGGGAGGAGAACTTGACACAGATTAAAACTAGATTTGATACTAAACACTATCACTGAGTCATTCTTTTCAAAGGGGTACTACAAGCCAGAGACCACTTTCTTTGGGAAATATTCTCTTGGTACCTGCTCTTTCCACCCCAAAAGGGGCGGACTTCATCTCCTTGGAATGGGCAACCTGACAGGGACTTCTTTTTTTTTTTTTTAAGATTTTATTTATTTATTTGCCAGACAGAGACCACAAGTAAGCAGAGAGGCAGGCAGAGAGAGAGAGAGGAGGAAGCAGGCTCCCTGCCGAGCAGAGAGCCCGACGCGGGGCTCGATTCCAGGACCCTGGGATCATGACCTGAGCTGAAGGCAGAGGCTTTAACCCACTGAGCCACCCAGGCGCCCCGAGACAGGGACTTTTTTAAGCTTATGGGTCCTCTGCTTTCAGCTTCACTAATTCAATGATCATTTTACAGATGAAGCTTCTGGGTTTCAGGCTGGTGAAACCATTGAATGGAGGAAGGCAATATTAACAGTGGCTCACGGATGGTGTAGTCAGAAAGCCTGCGTTCAAACTCAGGTGCTTAGTAACTAGCTTTGAGACTCTGTACCTTACTAATTCTGTTGTCCGTAATAGAATGTACCCTGAGATTAGGGTAAAAGCAGTAAAGCCTGGTGTAAACACCTGGTAATACCCCACTGTGACCACTACTGCTGCCGCCACCCTAGACGTCAGCGATGCTGGAACTAGACCCAAGGCTCCTGACTCAAAGCCCTGTGCTCAGTTTTTGGTGCTTTTCCTGGAGAGCCTGACAAGGAGCTGAATCCTAAGAAGATTTGGGAGCAGATCCAGACTGACCTTTTACTAGTGATGAGTGTGTGGCTACATACAAAGGAGGCCCCTTTGAGATGAAAGGGGAGGAAGTGTGTAGGGCTCAAACTATGACCAACAGTGGAATAAAATAAAATTAAATGCTTCATTTACTGAACTACATTGGGGAAAACTTTAATAACAATAGAAATACATTTGTCACTTGTCAACTTTAATAACGATAAAAAGAAATACATTTGTCACTTGTGCCTAAAATATAAAAAAACAAAACAAACCAAGCGAACAATTACTTGTTTTCTACAGAACACAGCTCATCTTCCCAGAATTTCCTTATCATTCCCATCTCCCCACCAGAGCCTTTCCCCCTCAAACCATCAATTAGAATAGCGAACAGATCAAAGGAATGTTTATTTAGCATTTATGGGCCTACTCCCTCCATAAATAACCCTGTACAGAGTTGGGAATCAGGCTCCTGATAGATATAGGATGGCAGAGAGCATGGCATTAAGGCTCAGGGATCAGTACATGTCATCAGGCTCAGCACCCTCCCGTCTTCAAGTGCACTAACGAGGCTGTGGGAATCTCCATTGGAGTGGATACAGCAGGATCCCTGCTATAGGATCTCTCAAAATTTGGGGGATCCGTTGCAGGCTCAGCCTATGACCCAGGTCCAAATGTTCCAGCCTTCTCTGCCACCTCCAGGGCTAACTTCAAGTTCTGGTCAAACAGCTCACACCTAGGCCAGACCCAAGAGGCACAAATGATGACAAAGTGTGAGGTCTCAGACTCTCCTCCCACTTTGGGTGCCAAAGTACTCTTGCTTGAAGAAGGATATGAATGCCAAGAAAAGTCTTTGGTTTCTCAAAACAGGAAAAAAAGACTAGTCCGTTTTTGTTTTATTTAAAAGTAACTCTTCTTATCCTTTTGAAAAATGACCTGGGGAAGAGCACAAAGGGAGGGGCAAGGACTCTTCGACCAGTATCTGGGGAGGGGGACCGCCTACCTGATGGGCATTTCCAGGGAGTAGAATGGATTCTTGAGAGCAAAGTCTGAGTAGATCTCATAAATCTTTCGGAGAAGAGAATCTATTCCAGCTTGCCTAGGATCTGCCAGTACCACAAACTTGATCCCTGGAGAAGGACCAATAATGGTTACGGAAGGTAGAGAAGGCAGCAAATATCCTGTGTGCAGATGGCATTTTCATAAGCCCATTTTCATTTTTATCCTTATTGCTCCATAAAGCAGGAAAGGCAAGACTGTGAATCTTTAAGACTAGACAGGGAAGTCACTTTATCACATCACCCAACTGACTGAGATCACATTTTGACCTCTAGCTCTGTCGCTTAATTCCTAGTCTTGTGGTCCCTCAGCAGCAAGTGCCAGGCAGGGAACAGACTCAGGCAGTTTTCAATTATCCCCATTAACGGTGTGAGGCAATGACACGATCCAAAGGTCATTTCCATTTGGCATTCAAGTTTCATTTTGAAATACACCTTCCGAAACGTGTGCAACATGAGATACCATTATGGTGAGTTTTATCTGCACACAGGATAACCAAGGCTGAGCATTCTGGGCGGAGTTGACAAAATTGGCATCAGATTAAATATTGGCTTTGGATTCACAAAACAAATAGACATATGTGTCTGTGCAATTGTCCCAGGAAAAGTTAACCACCACCCCCTTGCTTACCAAAGTTTTTTTGGTCAGTCCCTTCCCCCATCCCTCTGGCCTATCTGGAGACGCCTACCTGTCAGTGTCTGGAAGCAATGCAGCTTGAAGGTGTCCGTCTCCAACATCTCAATGCCTGAGCTGCCCTGTTCTGGAGACAGCTGGGAACCGATTGCAAACAGCCTATTTGCAAAAGAGGTAAGGTTGGGAATGCAGCCGGCCGTATGAGGGAGGGATGCTTCTCAAACTTGTCCCCTGAAGTGACCCTATCTGCTGAGGAGTTCACATTACACCGAGAAGTCAGAAGAGGCCGTGTCAACTGCCTAGCAGCAGCACCAAAATTTCTTTAAAATTCACTTGAGCTCTGCACGTTTTTTACACTCATACTTTGGTGTAAAACATTTTACATTGAAAACTGAGGGTAAAATTACGGGCATATGTGTCATGGTTACTTACCCCATGGCTATGATTACCCAGCACATCTACTATCGTTGAGAATGAGAAAAAGGTCTTAACGATAATTTAATTCAGTTACCTGACTTTAGAAACTAAAACTGAGGGAAGAGAAGTGGACTTGTGCAAGGTCACACCACTGCCGGTATTACCTAAAACCTAGTCATCCAGGATTAGTTCTTTTTCTTTCACAACACAAGAACTGACGATTTAAAAGGAGGCTTAGAAAGGTAAGCACGGCCGCTCAGGAGACTTCCCGCAGAACCACACTAATCCAGCCGGCCTAAGGGCCAAGTGCAGGACCACAGGCCCTAGGAAGTGCTGGGGGACTTACGAGTGGAACATGGAGGCCAGCATGAGCTTCTCATTGGAGGTGAGGCGCGGTCGGCCGAATCGAATGGACACCGGGTAATTGGCAGGGTTGCCCAAGTACTCCAGCACCTCTTTCCCATCGGCCGTGTACTTGCCATTCACGTCCACGCCATTGATGGCCAGCACTGCGTGGCCCACTGCAGAGGTGAGGCTAAGGGTCAACGAAGCCCCAGCGCGGGGATTCCGCCAAAGGGACTGGCGACCCGGCCTCACCCCCTGTCCCCTCTCCCTCCGCGCCCTCCCCCCGCCCCGCAGAGACACCAGCCCACTCTGCAGCACCCGGCCCGCCCATCGGACGCAAGCCTAGCCCACCCCGGATGCCGTCGCGCTGGCCAAAGGCAACCAGCACACGCTCGTCATGCAGCTTCAGCAGCAGATCAAGGGGGTAACTGAAAGTTTTCTCAGCCTCGGCCCGTGGCGCGTAGCTGTCCAACTGGTAGATCAGGCCGCCAGCTTTGTTCACCACATACACGCTAAAAATCGCCATTGCGGCCACCGCGGCCCGGAGACGCCTACTCGGCCTGTTCCTGACGGCCCCGCCCCGGAACCGCAGCCTCGGGACCCACCGCCCCCTGCTCCCCGCCCGGCGCGCACCGGCGCCTGCGCACTTGAAGCACCACGCTTAGCGGGGTCGCCGGGGGTCCCTTCGGGTCCCGGCAGATTGTTTTGTCTCTCTTTAATCGTTTCCAGAGCCAGGGGAAGCAAAGTGTGGCTGCCTCACAACTAACGGCAAAACCCAGTAAGCCGCGGGCAGCTCTCAGGATGCGACCCTCAGGAACGACCGTCCCCTCGCGGCGGCCCGCTCTCCGCTGCACGAGGGTGCCGGATTTCCGGCCTTTCTCTGCGGGCTCCGCCCCTTGCCCCGGAAGCGCTCGTTGCGGATGGAGGTTTCTGGGCCGGTTTGGGAGAGGCGCTTCCTTTTTGTCCGACATCTTAGTGAGGCTGCAGGGGTGGACGCTCCTCTTTTAGCTTCGCTATGGTGAGCTATCGGGAATGGGGGGCCGGGCTGTTCTGAGAGCCGGGCGGTGCTGGGGCGCAGCTGGGGCGCAGTTGTGGCGACACCGGACGGAGGGCCTCAGACCCGCCGGGCCGCTTCTTCGAGGTGGGTGGGGGGATTGCTTCACCCATGTGCTCCGGTAGTGGGGTTAGGACGGTGCGGGACTGCCTCGTGACCTTCCTGCATTCCCCCTTTTTACTCTACAGCCGCCCAAGGATGACAAGAAGAAGAAGGATGCCGGAAAATCGGCCAAAAAAGACAAAGACCCAGTGAACAAATCTGGGGGCAAGGCCAAAAAGAAGGTAGGCGTGAGCTCCCCCCCACCACCCAGGAGTGGGGGATATCGGAGACGCCGGACCCATGTGTCTTGGTAATAAGTGACGTGTAGGGCAAATGGCTTTTAAGGTTGTGCGGTTTAGAGTCCGATTATTAGAACTTGTACTCCTCGTCACCGTTCTGTTGTTTTGGAAGAATAGGGTGGTACACGCTACTTAGAAGTTAGCAGTGTGTATTCTGAGGCCTAGTCCATTATATTTTTAATTGGTATCGTGGGGTACAGCCTGTATCCGAAAGTCGCATTTTTATTTTTTCCCCCAGCCTAACGCATCTTTGGTACTGTTAGTGGCAGCTAGGGTTCCTTTTGTTTTGTGTCCTGGTTTCAATTTTTTGAGTCTTAGTGTGTAGAAATTATGTAAAATCTGAATTTCGTAGGTTTGTATAGGCCAAGGAACAGCCACCCTTGCAGTATAGCAGGAGGGCAGTGGAAGAGTTCTCGGACACCGGTTGTTGGAGGGGTGGGGGATGATGTCTTCAGAAGCACTGATTTTCTTTCTCTTTTGGTGAGCAGAAGTGGTCCAAAGGCAAAGTCCGGGACAAGCTGAATAATTTGGTCTTGTTTGACAAAGCGACATACGACAAACTCTGTAAAGAAGTTCCTAACTATAAGCTTATAACTCCAGCTGTTGTCTCTGAGAGACTGAAGATTCGAGGTTCCCTGGCCAGGGCGGCCCTTCAGGAGCTCCTTAGTAAAGGTGAGAGGGGTGTGTTGTACTGGCGTGCTTTTACACCTTAAATTGGCCTGCCTGTATTAGCCATCTTAAATGTTTTTACTGGAATTTTGTAAAGTAGGCACAGGCTGACCACTAGCCATAATATTCTAACCTATTACCCCCTTGTGTAGACCCCAGATCAGGGTTCATGGCCGCTTTTGTCCCGTGGATCCCTATGTCCTGTTGCTGGAGCTTCAGGATCCCTTGTTTTCAAATTCATTTTATTTAAAGAGTTACAAAAGAAACCCAATATTGAAATATGGTTGTGAAAATAGTAAAAGTTTTGGTAGGAAAGTATTTTTTACTTAAGAATACTTAAAATTTAGTGGTGATTTAATTACCATGATTTCATATTAATGTGAATGAATGTAAATGTTTTAAGCATCTGTAGTGTCTAATGTGGAAACAGTAATTTTTAAGTTAAAGCGCTGTGAGGGTAAGCATCCCAATAGCAGGTAATGGGCCCTTCATTTAGGAAGAAAAAATAAAATTAGATCATCACCAAGACATGAGGGATGTTTGCCTTTGTTATTAAACTCTAATGCTCAAATTCAGTATTTTTAGTGTCTATTAATCATTTCCTAGTACTGCATAAAAACCCTACCCTTATTTTTTTCTCTCTAGGACTTATTAAACTGGTTTCAAAGCACAGAGCTCAAGTAATTTACACCAGAAATACCAAGGGTGGAGATGCCCCAGCTGCTGGTGAAGATGCATGAACAAGGTAAGAACGAATGCGGGCTTGTGGTGTAGAAAGTATATACATCCCATTTTTGTATTAGGCTCTAGAGTTCTGATTCTTTTATTTTTATTTTTTACAGATCCACCAACTGTACATTTTGGAAAATAAAACTTTATTAAATCAAATAAGTGGGTATGTCTCTTTCCTAAGAAAAGGATTTAGGTATGGGTTTGTTGACTTGATAAAGTATCCAGAAACGATTGGCTTTTTTTATGTGACTGTTTGTTCCTTGCTGCAGCTTCCGTTTTGAACTGATGTCTGAAAGGAAATGAAAGGTTAGCGGGATAAAGGCTGACATCTCCAAAGGGATAGTGGGTTGGGGTCCTGGCAGTGGATCCACACCTGGATTGCCAGCGGCGTCCATTATTCCAGACCCGGCCGAAAGAGGGCAGCCAGCCTATACTGGTGCTGGAGCTATGATCAAAGTTGGCCCCAACTCTGTCCGGGGGGAGTTTCTTCAATTTCTGTTTTTCCTCTACAAAGAAGTAAACAGTTTTTAAACGGTTTTGCTTTGAGTAGGAAAATTTAGACAGCCCATTCTTGAATTTGTTAACTTACTTTCTTTAAGGAATTCTTCATAGGATGGTCCTATTTGTCGGTTTACAGAGCTGTATTCTTCATCCTGGACCATCCAAGGAGGTGTAGCACCTGGAAAAGGCCCATTAAGCAAGAATGAAGGCAGTCTTAAGTTTCAAACTACTGTGAAACATGCCCTTACCTAATGCTCAAAAGCAAAACCCAGGAATTTTGGACCATGGGCTGGTATTTAACAGCTTTGTTGAGGCATAACAGACCTACAACTGCCCAATGGAAAATACACAATTTGAAAAACTTTGAGTGAAACCATCACAGTCAAGATATTAAATATCACCACTATGTATTGTTCTGCCCCTTTAAAGGACTTCCTGCTATTCTCTACCTTTTCCCAACCCCAGGAAACTATGAATATGCTTCTGTTAATCTAATTTGCATTTACTAGTTATGTACCTTTTTTCAATCTGGCTTCTAATAATTGAGATTGATCTATGCTGCACTTAACAACAGTACCTTCTTTGTTGGGCACTGCTCTGTTCCTTCATTGAGGCACATTTGGATTCTTTTCAGCTTCAGTTTTGGGGTATTGAAACTAAAGCTGTGACCATCTGGTGTGCAAGCCTTTGTGCAGACATGTTTGCTTTTCTCCTGCAATGTCTGGATCATAATGGTGGGTGTATGTTTAACTTCTTAAATCCCTGAACTGTTTCTCCAATTGGTTGTGCCATTTTACATTCCCACCAGCAGTTTATGAATGTTTCTTCACATACACAGTCTTTAATTTTAGCCACTCTGATGAACCATCTTCTATGTGATTTTACTGAGTTTTGAGAGTTCTTCGTATATTTAAGATTCAAGTCCTTCATCAGATAGCACTTCATAATCAACCTTATTCTTTAAGAAAGTAATTGGGCACAGTCCGTTCAGTGTCCACCTTTAAAAAAGATTTCAATACGTGAGTGAGCACTGGGGTGGGGGGCGGGAGAAGAGGGAGAGAATCTTAAGCAGACTTGGTGCTGAGCCTGAAGCCTGAGGTGTAGCTCAATCTCACGACCCCAAGATCAGACCTGAGCTGAAACCAAGAGTCAGATGCTGAACTGACTGCATCACCCAGGTGCCCCCGAGATAATTAACTTTGAAAAAGTAATAAAATAATTGGCTCTTACCATCTGAGAAACACTGCTCTGGGCCTTACCTGAGTGGATGTTACCAATTCCTGGTGTATCCTGTGGTTGGAAATGGGGGTGGGGGGGGGAAATCCCAGATAAGAAACTGATGACAATATGTTCCCAACTAGAAAAAGGACAAAGCCGCGGGCGGGCGGGTGGTTGGGGGTGGAAGCACCACAGTGCTACTTCTGTCCCATGGTTGGTGTTAAATTTTAAAAGCACAGATAACTGAAAGAGTCCTATCCCTCAAAAGACTTACGGTCTTAGTAGTGAAGATGTCCAAAAATAGAGTGCCTACTAGGTGCACATTAGCAAAACTCTTTCCTCACAGGACAGTATATATTGTGGGGGAGAGATTTAAGCATTAATTACACAGGTGACATTTTCAGCTTTTTACATGGTCCCATGTACATTTATAACAGGCAACCTGTTCACAGAAGCCTTCCATGAAAAGGTGACCTTTGAGCTAGGCTGAAGAAAGGTAGGCCTATCATTTAAGGCAAGGGAATGACACGTGCAGAAACCACAAGATGCACAGTATGGTTGGAGTGTACAGGACATGAGGTGAGGCAGTGGCTTTCTGTGTTCAGAACAGGATTACAGGGGGCATAGAAACTTAAAAGTGTAACACAGGACATCTAGCCAGGAGGTAAAACAGGCCTACTCCTCGACAGGATGTAGGAGATGAAAGAAGAGGAAATAACTCGGCTACAGTTCTGTTAATTTAGGGACAGTAGGGGTTAGCTTCAGGTGCCTGTGGAATGTTTACAAATGTCCTAAATTGAGCAGAAACGGGGGGTTCTATAGAGGATGCCTAGGAGTTGGCACTCCTCAGTGGCAGTGGGGGCAAGAGGTGTGGATGAGATCACTGGACGGTGGGGAAAGAGGTCTAAGAACACATGTCTCTGTCAAAATCTTTAAAAAAACCCAACACACTATGGAGCGGTGCAGCCAAGAGACAAGATCTGGATGGCCAGAATAGGTACAAAACATGTGACAGATGGATGTCCTGGGAATTGAGGGAGCACTGGCCCTTCCTGACTCACTTATCCAAGGTACCTGATGGCCGATGAATGTCAAAGGTTGTCCTGTCTCCATCCAGTCAAGCTCTGGGGCAGGTGGCAGGTCCAAGTAGGAGGGCTGCTGTGAGGCGGAGGCCACTAGACTGAAAAAGACAAGCAGGAGCCAGGCTGGCAGAGGAGGTCCTTGAGCCATGAGGACAACAGAGGTGAACTCTTGCCATTTTCCAACCAAAAAGGTACAGAATGCTCTAACAATCCAAACTCAACGAGATTCCTTAGCAATTTTACCTGTTGGTCCCTTTCCAGCTTCCAAGTGCTGAAGAGCCTTCTTCTGGGTCTGGCACTGGCTGAGGCTGAGTTTGATTCAGGAAAAATAAATGTGTCTTGGATGCTTAAGAGTCTGCCTAGGCCATGCTCCCACCCTCCAGTAGGAAACAAATTAGCATACTGACATATGGTACTGCCCATTTTGCAAACTTCCTTTTTTCCCCTCCCAGCTCAGCCCACAACGCCACTGACAAGGCCTGCCCCCTGGCGGACAGGTAAGGGAATTCAAGCCGAACAGATGAAGTACGGAGTCCGTGTGTTCTAGAAGAGCTGGTAGGTGAAATGCTGGACCTGGGAGAACCAGGGATCAGATGGATTTGGATACTGCTCTGGCTCCTCCGAGGGACACCAACCTCTAAGACAGACCGAACCAGCTCCTGCCGGCTGTGCTCCACCTCACGAATCTGAGCTGCCATCTGTGGGGGAGAGGCTGCTTAGCTTGGTACAAGGCCAGGGGGCTGTGTCCTTCAGTGGCCTTTTAACTCACTTCTTTGATCACCTCATCCTCCTTTTCCTCATAGGTATCCAGACTTTTCACCATGGATTTCTTGAATCTGAAAAGAAAAAGGGCAAGTCAGCCAAGAACCTGTATCTGCGGGTTACAAAAAGATCCTCAATAGATCATTTTTTCTTCAAATTTTGGATAATTTCAAAATTACAAAAACAAACTAGAACAATTAACACCCATGGACCTTTCGCCCAGATTCACTGTAAACATTTTGCCATACTGGCTCCACTTTTCTTCTAGCACATAATTCCTTTTTGCAAAATCAAAAATGGGCTTTAGAACATCATGAGACTTAAAGTTATTATCCTACGATACACACAGGAAGGTATCAGAAAAGTACCGATACTACCAATATCACTATCAACAATATAACTACTAACCAAAGCTCAGGATTTCTCCTGTTCTTCAGTCCTTAGTATATATCCTAAGGCTATACAGTCAGAATTTTGTGTTGAAGTTACTTGAATTCTGACTCTCTTATAACTTATCAATTTGATATATAATTATGATAATCTGTCATTGGTTTGCAATGAGTTTTAGGATTTGCTTTCTGGCCTGATTTTATTTTGTAATTTATTTTTATAAATAGTGTCCCACAGCTCACACTATAGTTACCTAGCCCTTTTTGTTTCAGAGTGGCCCTTTTTGGTGGGTGGGCAAGGACATGGGAAGCTGGCACTCCAGGTTTATTTTCTTTGATCTTTAAGTGATAACCTGTCTAAATCTAAAAGTGGCTTGTGGTATCTTTACCAGTCAAAGCAGTCAGACTTGGCTTTGCCTTGTGCGTGTGCACGTGAAATGTATAAAGTTCAAAAGTCAAAACTGGGGTGCCTGGGTAGCTCAGCTGGTTAAGCAACTGCCTTCAGCTCAGGTCATGATCCCAGCGAGCCCAGTGTCAGGCTCCTTGCTGAGGGGAGTCTGCTTCTCCCTATCCCACTCCCCCTGCTCATGCTAGCTCTTATACTCTCTCTAAATAAACAAAATCTTAAAAAAAACAAAAAAACAAAAAATGAAAACTAATAAAAAATTCAGAGTCCAGGGGCACCTGGGTGGCTCAGTGGGTTAAAGCCTCTGCATTTGGCTCAGGTCATGATCTCAGGGTTCTGGGATCGAGCCCTGCATCGGGCTCTCTGCTTAGTGGGGAGCCTGCTTCCCCCTTTCTCTGCCTGCCTCTCTGCCTACTTGTGATCTCTGTCTGTCAAATAAATAAATAAAATCTTTAAAAAAATTAAAAATCAAGGAGTTCATTCTCATAGTTCTCAATTATAACTTTTTCTGCTCAACTATTCTTTATTCCCACCAAACACCGTTTGGAGCTGGGCCAGGGTGTAAGGAGTTAGTGCTTTTTGGCCTCAGTTCTCCATCTCCTGCCCAGTTTGAACCACAGATTTGAAGGCAAGGTAGTAGGATTTAGGCATTTCTCACCATTCCTTCATTATTCTCCACACTGAATAGGAAACAATAATAGAGGTCATGAGTTTTTCCGTAACTTTGGTTCCGGGATCCCCTTGGGTTCCATTCCCCATAATCTCAATATTGT